CCTGGCAGCACCCACACCACACCATGGTTTCCTTTACAAAAACATGCTCAGTGAGTACGCGTGCAAGAAATGAACACTTACTGTTTCCACCCTGTCCTGAGCTGCATTTTCTCCTACTATATTGCAGTAACCTCCTCAGTGGCCTTCCAGACCTACCTCCACTTCATTTGCGCTCTGCAATCAAAGAGCACTTTGGGAGGAAAAAATTGTATCTAACATTTCCCCACTTCCTAACCTTTTAGACTGCTTCTCACTGCCTTTGAATAGTCTTAAGTCCTTATTTTGGCTCAAATCCTGCAAGACCCTCACTGCTCATTCTCTGACCTGCAGCACATTGTCTGTTCCATTTCTGCAACACTCCCTGCTCTCTCCTGCCACAGGGAGTCTTCTAAGCTGCTCCCTCTGCCTGATACCCTCGCCCTCACCTCACCTTTCCCATTCCACCCTTGAAATCTTAGCTCAAGCATTCCCACACAAGAAAACTTTCCCTGACCCCCTTTGCCTGTACATGATCTCATAACAAAATCTACATATCTTTATAACACAAAAAAAGCATAGTTTATCATTTCTACTCCTTATCATTTGATTAATGTGAGCTTTCCATTTAGGATATAAGCCCCATGGGGACAGAAGTTGTTTCTGTCTGTCTTTATTGTACTGTTCCCAGTCACCAGCATAATGCCACATATACAGTCAATGCACAATTGACACATAGTTAATCAATAAACAAATTGTAGAAGGCACATGAAACAAATTAGCCAATGGGACAACACATAAGTATTAAATACTAAATCTAAACTTTTATATTTATTTCATTTTTTAAAGGTTTTTTGCCATAGAGTGACATGCACTCACCAGAGAGAAACAGTGAAAGGGAAAGTGAGAAATCGCTCCCCAGAGGGAATGACCAAGTTGCAATCCCCTTTCCTCCAATCTTCCCCTGGGATTTTGGGCACACAAGCACACTCACCTTGTGTGATTTTCAAGCTGCCAGGTCCAGGACTCAAGGTCGGCTATGTGGGAGTCCAGAGCTTTGGCCACCATCCACCTGCTGGCCCATATTTATTCCATTTCTACCATTCCTATTTCTATCATCTAATTATGGAGGGAGAAAGATGGACAAACAGACAGCAAGGGCTTCTCTGAAACACATCACAAGTGACCAGAATAATTTATCTGATACTTAACCTTCTGTGCTCATATCTGGTGTTGGCATCCAGATGTAGACCAAGCCTTCTTCTTTATACAGCTTAATCATAGTGTCTGGAGACATGGGTTCTGGGTAGCGATTACAACCTGAGGAATTCTGTACGATATCCCATTCGGTCTGGAAATTCATTACGGCCGTAATCCCCAATTCATGCTTCAGTTTGATGGTTACATGTTCCACTTGACGAGGACAGCTACCCAGCCAGATATTTGGTAGAATTCTAATGAGAACACAGGGAGTCAACTATTACTACTGTTGCTTTGAGCTGAGGTCTGAAGAGCTGCATAAAACATGTAACATAAAAATGCAATTAACCTTCAAATTGGGCAGAGAAAAAGCAGGATTTTTAAGATGGAAAGAACTAATAGTATTAATTTTTTTGAGAGGTTTTTGCTATAGGGTGCGTGTGCTCGCCAGGAAGACAGAGAGAGACAGAGAGACAGAATGCGAGAAATCACCCTCCAGGGGGGATGGCCACACCACAATCCCTTCTCCTCCATTCTCCTCTTGGGATCTTGGGCATGCATGCACACACATTTGGCGTGAGTTTAAGTCACCGGGTCCGAGACCCAGACCATGGCTGACTACGTGGGAGTCCAGCAACATAGCCATTATGCCAACTGCTGGTCCCAGTATTAATTTTAAAAAAATAATAATAAAAGTACTGTTGCTCTTTTGGGGGAAAATAATTCTATTAACTGAAAATGGGCATTAGAAAACCAAGTTTAGTCATATATTAAAACAAATCCACCAAGTTTTTGATTTGGTTTGGTTTGGTTTTTCAATGACAGAGGGTGGATGCCCACACAAAAGAGCAAGCAAGCACCTCCTACAATGGGCCCGTCATGCCACAGTCCTTTTTCCTCTATTTGTCCATCTCATCACCCTGGACATGCATGTGCATGCCTAGTGTGTTGCCACCAGGGCTGGAATTCAGACGTCAGTAGGCCATGTGGAATGCAGCCTCCTCTGCACAGCACTTAATGGCGTGCTGCAGAGCAGGCCTGTGTTCTTATGAATGCATTTGTGGGGCAACGTGATGAAATCCATCAACACGTTTCAAATACTAACAAATCAAGAGTGAAAACTCCTATGTTCACATAATAAACTCTGGAAAACATTTGCTACAATACAACAATCATTCCTATTTAAAACTCAGATGTCAAAATTTCAAATGGTAGGACTTTTAAACATGCAAAAGTCCAGAAACTAACAAACAGCAAACTTCTTAAAAATGAAATAAAAATCAAGGTTAAAAATCTCCATTAGTACCCAACATTGTTCTGTTTTATCTAATGCTACAAAGTAAGAAAAAGACACAGCAATAAAACTCATTTTAAAAAAAGAAGAAAAAGAAGAAGAAGAAGAAAAGAAAAAGAAAAAGAGAAAAGGATACCATTATTTTTTCAGATATGCTTCTATTCCTAAAACCCCCAGGGCTGGGCCAGGCCCCACCCTCAGTTTCTGATTCAGTAGGTGTGAGCTGAGAATTCAGGAATTCAGATTCCTGACAAGTGCCCTAGTGATACTGACTTTGCAGACAAACCTTGAGCACCCTTCCCTGAGAGATTCCACTACAAAAGCTATGCAAGTATCAAAGGTATTAAGATGAAGATATCTGGATGAGGGAAAATACACAAAAGCAAATAGCTTTTCCTTTGTACTAGTAATAACCAGGTGAAAATGGAATGGGGAAAAATATATTGAAAAATAATAATTGAATCATAAAACATCTAGGAACACATTTAACCAGAAAGAACTATGAAAATTTATTGGATTACATTAAAAGCAACAACAAAGAGACATACCATACTCTTTATCTGGAATACTTAAGCTCAAAAAAACTGGGTTCAAATGCCAGTTTTAGAATAATATTTTCAGCAGCATTTGGGAATCATTACTTGACATTAAGCGCAGTTATTTCTCATCTCCAAGCCTTTGGTGTGCTCACCCCTAAAATGGATCTAAAAACTAGTTCATAGAAAAATACAGAGGGGAAATCAGGATAACTGAGCTTATGAAATAAGAAATCAGAATCCCAAATCAAAGTCAGTATACAGAATCACATTATATTGTTACAAGAAATGCTTTTCTGTCATTTTGTTTAGTCCTACTCATCAAATGTTTCTAAAATAACAGAGAACTGCAGGCAACTCAGAGCAAGTTGAGATAAACAGGCCCAAATTGGTTCCTGATCATACATATTCCCCACATTAAGTTTCTGCTGGAAACAAGCCCTTAAAATACACACCCATGCAGTCTCACACCCATACAAATGCTAGTGTCTGTATCAGAGAGTTCCAGCTTTCGATAATATAACGGGTCCTCCAATAAATGGCAGGAATCAGAGTCCATACTTAAATAAGTATAAACCAATTTCCAGTTTTTTAAGCAAGATGTTCTAAATCTGAGATAGATAACTTAATTCTGAAAATGTGCACTAAATCAAAGGATAGAGAATTAAAGTTGTAAATTTTATGGAATCATTATACAGGTTGAAGAACAGAGACTAGGCTTGTTGGAAACACACAGATCTATGGATTCCACTTAATCAAGCAGTTCAAGTGCCCTTTATATGCATCCCATTCTAGTCTGTTCTCAGACGTAGGTGATATATTTCTAGTTATATGATAAACTAGAAGTAATGAGATGCATGATGTAATTTCTAAACAGTAATTAAACTTTTATGCATTCATTCAAAAGGAAATTGACATTATTCAAAATCCATTTTTACTTGTCTGTTTTAATCTTCTTTGGGTGTCAATGACATTTTAAACACTTTTTAGTATCAGGATTTTTAAGGTGATAAAAAAGCTCACTGAAATATAGGATTTAGAGACTAAAAATCTTCTCCCTAAAGGTAGTTTTAATGAAGACATACCAAAATTCAAAGATATAATACTGGAATAAATGATATAGCTTACAATTATATTGTAACTACATTGTAAAACTTTCAGAGAATTATTTTACGACAAAATCACTGTTGATCGTGAGTTTTATCAGATGTCTGGCAGCTTCACTACAGATTATTTGAGCAGGTCAAAGAGAAAGCACCATTCCAAAGGGGCCCCAACACTCAGTCAACCTAGAGCGGAGGCTCCCAAAAGGCTCTTTGTACTCAAGTCATACAAGTTACTTTGATAAAAACATCTATTACCAGGATCTGCCCCTATAGATAGTTTTAAAGGGACCCCGGAATGAGACCTTTGATTTTATAGATTATCTGTCTTTTGGTTTATGTTTTTATAGAAATTTACCGAATGACACATGCAAGCAGATTCCAGAACTACTAACTAGCCTAACAGGCCCTAGTATGCATGTAAGAAAAGTTTAGTATATAGATCTCCGTACTACTTTTTATTTGTTGCTTATTTACCTTATTGCCAAAGGGTATGTACACTTGCCAGAGAGAGAAAGAGACAGAGACAGAGGGAGAGAGAGAAAGCATCCCCTGTAAGCCACAATCATACTGAATCCCATCCCCTCCATCTCTCCATCCCATTGGAATTCGGGGCACATACACATGCGCATTCCCAGTGTGTTTTTCACTCCACCAGGATCAGAATTCAAACCATGGTGGGCCATGTAAGATCTGGCTCCCTTAACCACTCAGCCAGGCCAGCTCCCAGTACCTCTTAATAGAAGTATTTAATTAGGAGATGAAAGGATAGGGACAGCAAGTCCCCTAAGTACAGCCTACATATGTACATATAGAGTTAATCCCTTCTTTCCTCCAAAAGTAGTTTTAAGACTGTAAATGATTCCCATGCCATGAGAAATGGGGAACTACTTGATATGAGAGAGTAGTTGTATGAGTGTGTGTCCATGCATAATATCTCTAGAAAGCCCAAATTAAACCTGCTTTTGAGTCATGACAGATATTTCATGTAGGTACCATGCATTAAGAATTTTGTAGGGAGAAAAAAAAACGTATCAACCTAGAGTTTATTTATTTCTGCTGTGATTCAACCAGACTCAATTTAAATAAAATCCATCCTAGCAATACTACAATTTAGGGGAAAGAAATGGATGGTTGACATTCCAGAACCTTACTTTTTTCAACTGCAAATCAAAATCAATTTAATTCATTTGAGGGGATCTGGATTTGTGGTTCGGGTAATCTCACCACAATTACTACACAGCCTGCATCAGCCATCAGGCAGGCTGTGGTACAACAGCTACTGAAGCCTCTGAATCAGAGCCCCCTTGCTCCAACTCAGCTGTCAGTCAAAGGAGACCACATCAGGCAGAATGAGCTTCCAAGCTCTTTTTGGAAAAACACCTCCAGGTATTGACAAGAGGAGTAAATGTGGAAAAGACAAAACATATCAGCAATCCATTGTCTGAACTTGACGCTGGAGATTCCATAACTAATGACCATGAGAACCTGCAGAATTACTTCTTCCTACGTGTGAAAATTAGGGTTCTTCTGTAAGTTGAATAATTGTGCTGCATTTACCTTATTTAAATGGGAAATTAAAATGTGATCCAGCTTTTACATAATGGTTAAAAAGACAAAAAAAAATTAAGTCTATCAGTTCTCCAGTTTAGATTTCATTAGTGGAAAAGCAGAGAAACATTAAAATCAAACTTTAGTAAGCTCAGAACTTCATTAGCACATTGAGCTCCCGCTAATGAAAACATGTCCTCTAGCGTCAAGTGTTAAGTTATTAATGTCAAACTTCTACCCCAAAAGGATGCTTATACCAGGCTTCAGCTAAGGCTGAATAACTTCTCAAAGACAAATTGCAATTTAGAAAGTGATACTAATTAAGTTCTTTATTAAAACATAGTTTTATTATCATTTGCTTGTGGGACAGACGATAGTGCATGTAAAATCTTTCAGTTTTTGAGGTATGCTATATAGTTTATGGCCATAAGAAGCAAATATTTTTGACATATGTTCTTTTGTATACTTTAACATGCCATATCATTAAATTAGTTACATATGTCTGTCATGGTTGAACTGTGTCCATCAAAAACGTCTATGTTGAATTCCTAACCCGTAGTAACAGAGCATGTGGACCATATGTGGAAACAGTCTCTACAGAAGTAATCCAGTTAAAGTGAGGTCATTAGAGTAGACACTACTAATCCAGTATGATTGGTGTCCTTATAAGAAACGGAGAGCAAGCCTGTGGCCTGGTAGTTAAGTCAGCCAGATCCCACATAGCTGACAGTGCAGTTCAAGTCCTTGATCCAGAGTCTCAAGAACCATGC